TTTTACGAAAATTGTCACCAAAAAAATGACAACTAATGTATTTTAGTTCGCGGGCCGGAAGTGGCCCGCGGGCAGCCAGTTGTTAACCACTGGGATAGAGCGTTCGCCTTCCAATGAGATGAACCGGGTTCGAATCCCAGTGATGGCTGATCGATACGATCTACATCCGACTTGCACCGACTACAGTGCTGACGTGATATATCCTCATCGGTAGACAGCTCATGGGTTAGAATCCCTTCGCCGTCAGGCTAACCGTGGAAGGTTCTCGTGATCTTCCTCTCCATGTAACGCAAATTCGGGTTAATTCCACCAAAACGTCCTCCACAAAGGCAATTTTATCTTAATACTTGATCCAGGAGTTCCCTTGTCTTCTAGATTGGGTTCAAAATTACGAGACTACGGAGTTGAACATTAGTTCTAGTAAAGTCAAAAATTGGGTCAGCTGTTACACGACAATTATAAAATGAAATAAAATGGAACTCATGGATCAAGCATTGGGACAAACTATTCTTCGTGGAAAACATTTAGATGGAACTAACCCACATTTACGTTACATGAAAAGGAAAACCTCCTATGATTAGTCTGACGGCAAGGGAAATTTAACACATGATCCATATACTACCGAGAATATTTTACTTGAGCACTGTCATCGGTGTGAGCCAGGAACTGAATTTGTATCAACCAGCCACCGCTGGGATTCGAACCTGCGTCCCCTAAGTGAGAGACGAATACTATATCCCCTGTACTGCCTGCTGCTCTTATCTTAATTTTGAGAAATAGATCTGATTTTTACTAAAGCATTGCTAAACACGTAGCAAATGAGCTATATAATATTTAATTCAGAGTAACAAAGTAGGTTACTTACAATACTTTAGTTGTCTAGATAGGAATATTTTGAGTTTTTTAACTCGAATACGTCCCCTTTTGAACTAAAATCAATCAAAAATATAGGCACATGATATTGTTTGAAAAAATTAGTTTTTATGTGTTTGCACATCTCAAACTAGTCTAGCCAGTAATGATGGTATTAAACGTCTGTTCCTTTTTCTTTATTTCAATACAAAGGATTTGTTAAAACGAAAATTGATATTTTTAATTGCTAAAAAATAAAACTTGTCATCCATATAATATTTTCACTATTTTTTTTTCTGAAATCAGCATCGAAAAATTCAATCAGAATTTAATGTTTTCTAATCACTCCTTTGATCGAATGTATGCGTGAATAATAGACTCCAAGTTCGAAAAATAATTCTAATTTTATTCATGGTTAGAAAATAACAGTTTGGTCTGATAGTCTAGATCTGTTATCATAAATGAATTTTATATTAGATATAAACTGCCGTCGTTAATTGAAAATGAAAATGAAAAAAAAAAAAAAAAAATAGAANTCATAAAAAAAAAAAAAAAAAAACATTTCAGTAAGAGCTTTGCAGCTAAAGAGAACTTTTAGGAATTCGCTCTTCCTATATTCTGTGCGAACATTTTTATAATACTATTTTTTCTACTTATTTTATTTATTCTTTTGCCTTGTTTCAATTTTTAGAACTAAATTTTTAATTTTCAGTTCTAGCTATATTTTTAATTTCTATTCTGCTACTTCGAAAAAGTGTTTTCGTAAATGTATTAGAATTTCGTTTTTTTGAAATTATTTTATGTTTAAATATTAAGAATAGTTAAGAGAAGAAATGTAAAACAAAACAATTCTTGATCGGAAGTAATAACAAGATTTTTTTTTTTTTAAAAAAAAAAATTTCTAAAAAAAAATTTTTCACAATTCAGATTAAATAATTTCAGATTTTCCGAATAAGGATTTATATGTAATCCTCAGTTAAAATAAAATTTTCATTACATTAAGATCATAAACTAATTTTTAACTCCCATTAACTAATCGTTAACTGATCGTTAACTGATCATACTTTTTTTTAATAAATCAAGTATTTATTTAGCTTAATTTCAAAAATGGAAATTACGACGCATAAATGGAGCATTAACTTTAGACACCATGCACTACCAATTTACTGTGATGCTTTGGGCAAAAACCAGATTTAATTAATACTGTTGCCGGGATTCAAACCCAGAACCTTCCTGATGCAAGGTCAGTTTCCTGACCCCTACGCAGTCCGGTAGGCAAATTTTAATTAATCAAACAGCAGCTTATTTTTCATCACAAATAGGGCCAGATTAAAAAGGGGAATAGTGGTGCTGAAGTCCCAGGCTCCCAAAAGAACCCAAGAAAGGATATCTAAATTTTAAGAAATGAAATTGAATTGTGTAATTTTATAAGAATTTATTATACATTATCAAGCGTTTTATTTTACAATTTTTATTTCGAATCATTAAAAATGTATTATAGAATTTGAGTGTAAAATTCGGTGAAACGAAGAAATTAATGATACCTGACCATGTTATTTCCTTCACCACCAATCACCCAACTCGCTAATTTTATCTGTTATCTTCGTTTGCTTTAAACCACAAAGTGTTTGATTTTTCTAATTTTCTATATCCGTCTAAAAAACATGCAAATTTCTTACAGGTGTTTGTTTGGAAAAAAATTTGTATGTTTCATAATAACTGAAAATTTTAATTTGTTTCTTTCAATTTTTAAAATTTGCAAGTTGGATTATTCTTATTAAGTTCTTTTAATACTTAGCATTTATAGTTTCATACATTATGTTTTTGCAGACATAGTCACTTGGCTGACTTTTAATGTTTAATGTAATTATTTTTGAAAAACGAAACCTTTTTTTAAGAATTTTTTTCTTTTAAAAGGTTTAACTTGAGTTGAATTTCATAAAAAGTTTAAATATTTCTGAATATAAGAAAAGCTTAGCTAATTTGATATAGATAGGTTGCCAAGTTACACATTAGCCCTAGGTCCCTCTATAGCTTCCTTAATCCAACCCTGATCAAAGTTGCTACGCAACAAAGTGCGTGTAAACATTTAATAAAATGACTAATATAAAAAAAAATTGAAAAAATTCTAAGTTTCACAGTGCAAATGTTTGAAATTTTTTAAAGTTTTTTTCTTAGCGTTAAATTTCACTGATGATTTCATTTAAAAGAAAAGAATTAAACTCTCATTTTCCAATAAAATTTCAGTTTAAGATGAACTTGTATTATACTGTGTTATAGAAAAACTCTTATAAAAAAATATTGATTACCATAAGAGAGAGGTTTCTGTGCAAATGTTTGAAATCACTTTCAATTCAGTGATATTTTGAAACAAAAAAAATCGAATTTTGAAATTAGATAATAAATCATGTAGATTTCCAATAGTGAGGAAGATTTTTTTTAACTGGCCGAGCCCTGGGCTGCTATCTCATACATCCCTAACGGCAAATCCAAAAATTTTCTTTCAGAAGAAAAAATTATTTAAAGAAAAGGGGAAAAAAATAAACTAAAATACTATTTATTTAAGAAATATTTGCATCTTTAAGCAAGTGTTAATGATTAGGAATAAACTTGTTTCTTTTAAATATTACTTTTCAAAAACACTTTTTCGCTTTAAACAAGATGAATGTTCTTGTTTTAGGCACTTCTTAAAAACTGTAACTCCATTTTCCAAGATCAAGAAAGATAGTAAGAAAATATTATAATTTGTGTATATATATATATACCTGTTTAAAAGAAATTTTAGATCTCCATATATATTTTACGGTTTCGATAAGGTACAAAAAATATCAAAAATTATGCTTTAAATGTATAATCATAAAATAATGTATAATCACTTATAAGTTTTATTTGCATGTCTTCATAAATTTCGTTAGACTATATTATTTCGTTTACATTAATTTGTGAAATTTCTAGTGCTGCCATCTGTTGGGTTCGTGGCTCACCTCCATTTCATTTCATTTTAATTAGTTGAGACTTAAAACTGAAAGCAGTGGTCGGAAAAACTGCGTTATTTTTCAAGTTATTTACAACTATATTATTATAAATACAGTTAACTACTGCTACAACTATTTTTTATTTATTGTGGTGACAATAAGCTGCTTTTGAAATGTAGTTACTACTTCAATACTTTTAGGAAAGGAACTTTGTTGGAGAACTTTATTTACATCCATGTTCAAAATGGTTTTAAATTTTGAGAAAAAAATGTCTTATTTATGTATGAGGAATGATTAAAAAAATATTTATTCAAGCTATTACGAGCTAATTTGTTATTCTAACCCATTTTTTGCGAATTCGTTTTTTTAACCTTCAACTTTCTATGCCTCTGTCAGCAGCAAATATTTAATTAAAGAAACGGTAGGAAATAATCAAATATTTACAATTTTGTAAGTGTTCAATAAGTTCTTATAAGAAATGAAGTATGTCGAAAATTACAAAAAAATATATATGTTCCTTTCCATTAAAATAAAATCAATTCATGGTACAGTAGGCCTTGGCATACTGTGTGCTGTAGCGCCACTGGGTTTAGTATTAGTTTAGTTAGAGGGATTCCAATTTATATTCTTTCCTCGGTTATATTGTTCAGACTCCGAAATTCAAAGTCCATTAAAAAATAAACTTATTTTTTAAAATTTTAATTAAACTTCTAGTTTTCATTGTCTCACAATACAAAATAAATAGCAGTTTAAACCATTTATTTTAAAAAAAATCATAGCTCCCTACATGTAAAAAAAAAAAAATTTAATTTCAATTTTGTGTTTTAAATATATTAAAAAATATTGAAACATTTTCGTTGATAAAAAGGAAAAATTTCTATTCAGTTCTTGAAACTCGAGATTTTACCTCACCATGCGATTTAAATCAAATTTAATTGGATGCCTCTGAACGACATCATGCATCAGTGGCTGGCTTCTGAATCAACAAAATGCCATAATTTACCTACGATGACGTCACTTGAAGGTACCCAATTATAGGTATTCAATTAAGTGTCTGAGATAAACTAATTTGCTTTGTGTTGATGCAACTTAGCCTTATCGAAAAAGAAAATGCAATATAATAAATTATGTACTCAACATATTGATTGAAGAGTAAAAGTAATTAAAACAACATAAAACAAAAAACTTTATGTCACTTTTCAGCAATAAAAAATGCAAAAACTATTTATTCACAAGTAAAAAGTAGACAATTTGATGCATATTTTGGGCAACAACAATAAAACATCCATAATTATTGTAAGGAAGAAAGCAACATGCATTTCTAATCGCGGACACTTGGCTAATTTTGAAACCAGAGTTCTAACAATACAATTAAGAATTCAACAATAGCTTTCTGTGCTGATGATGCATTTTAAAAAATCTTATTATTTACTGACAGCTTAAACTCTGAACCAATCTTTCGTTTTCATAGCCTTGAGATCTGCTTTCAAATTAGCCAAACCTTCTGGGGTGAGGGGAACCAGGGGAACTCGAGATGTACCAAAATCCAAAGGTGTGAGAATGTTCATGGCTGCTTTGAAACAAGCAATTGGCATTCCTAAAATTTAAAAATATATACGAATAAGTTTTAGATGCGACGTTTTATAATTAAATTATTAAAACATAGTACAAAAAGCAAATGGTTACCATGTCTGCATATCCGTTCAGTAGCATTCATTATTTCTCTCTAAAGTTGGACAGAGAAAGCAAATATATAAGAAAATGGACATGTTATATTTAAACCAAGCAAATAAACAAAATTTAGTTATTTTTCTGAAACTTTTTGTTTTACGTACAATACTTATTAATGTATGCATTAAATTATACATTTTTTTCTTACTGAATTCAGCATCTCCATGCTAAATATTTATAAAACGTAATAATTTGAACTATAACGAGAAGGAAAGTAAGAGATTCCGCTCATATATTGGAGGACAAAAGTATCCAGCGAGAATATTTTTTTCGCTTTTTGATTTTTCAAAAGAGTGAAAAACAAATAATTTTTCCTTTTATTTAGTATTATAATCACGTTTAAATAATATCACGCTATTTTTCATTTATTGTTAAATTTTGATACACTTGTAAACATAAAAACTAAAATAAATTACAATATTTTCATGTTCAAAAGTATCCGCGACCATATTTTCTTTTTCTGTTTTTTTTTTGTTCGATGTGAAAACAACAGTAGATATGCCACCATAATCTTGTCAATCCTAATTTATATGCCATCATCCAAGGTGGCTCAGGAGATGGAGCGTTCGCCTCCCAAAGAGGTGCTCAGGTTCGAATCCCAGCTGTGGCTGGTTGATACGAATTCTGCTCCCGACTAGCACCAACTACAGTGCTGACGTAAAATATCCTCAGTGGTAGACGGATCATGGGTTAGAATTCCCTTGCTTTCAGGCTAACTGTAAGAGGTTTTTCTGGTTTTTTTCAGTGGGTTAGTTCCATATAAAAGTCCTCCACGAAGGTTAGTTAGTCCTAATGATTGATCCAGAAGTTCCCTTGTCTTCTTGGGCGGGTTCAAAATTACAAGACTGCAGAGATGAACATTGATAAGCGTAAACTCAGAAATTAGTCGGCTGTTCAATATTTATGCCATAAACATTAAGTTTTCATTAACGTAACTCACATTATATGCAAACACGCATATCTTTAATTACGATTTTAAAAAAAAAGGTAACGAAATCATCGTAAGAAGTAAACCGCAAATGATCTGGCTGCTAATAATCGAAGTACATATGGTTTAAAAGTTAGTCTACAAGTAGCAGATCACAAAAACAAAGAGAAAGGGGAACAAAATAGAAAACGCAAATCAGAAAGAATGCAGCTCAAATTGCACTGAAGTTACAAAAAGAAGGTGTTGTAAATGTGCGTCGCAGTACTGAAACAAGACGTTGATATGATATTGTATTGCTAATACAAACAGCCATTAGGAAAACAAAAATTAAAAAAGAAAATCAGAAAGCTAGTTTACAGTTTTTCACAGACCACTAGAACCAGATCGAGAATTGTTAAAAAAAAAATTATGTCTTTCTCTTGTAGACAAATTCAGTTTTGTCGGAAAGTATGTTCAATGCCCGTCAACAACAATAATTATTTTAAACTGACAAACATAGTAAATGCAAAGTTATGGTTTGTTGTCTTTCGGATCAAGAAGTAATGCAAAATGGATAACTTTTGAAATTATGTAACTGCATTATGGATCTTCTTGTATCAGTATTAACTTAACAATCTACTGATGTATGTAGATCACATGATGTCACAAAATTGAATAATAATGATACGGAATTTAGAATTTCCGTTAAACTGTTACCATATGAGCGAAAAATAACCAAATTAATGATATAAATACAATATACAGTCAAACTCACTACTGTCGAACCCTGATTCAACAAAAAATTGGATTTAGCGAAAAAAATCGAAAATACTTCGAGCAGAGTTCGCTTCTAATGAACAACCCCGGTTTGAACGAGAAATATTTTCGCGATTTATAAAATTTCTATGTATCCCCACTTATCCAGGTTAGCTAATCCCTACTTGAAAAAAATTGTTTAGTATTTAGAAGACAATTTAAAGTTAGTATGAGTCGTAAATTCAGTAAACCTGTGAATTTTTTACGAAAACAGGGTTGGCGATGTTTTTCATTTCCATGAGTCTTATCCTAACACAACAAAGAGACAATAAGACAGATCATATCAAAATAACTTACTTCCTTTGTACTGTATGGAAATAACAATTAAAGAAAATATTTTATTTATAACTTAATAAGTCTTGTCCCGAACAGCAGTTCTGCAGTTTTTTTTTAAACTAGCCTGTTTTTTACTAGCACTCGGTTATAACGCAAAAATATATCGGTTGCTTCAGGCTCGCTATAAGCAAGTTCGACTGTATCTGGTTTTATTACCAGAATTATTTTTTTTACCAACACAAATGTTTTTTCCATACAGTAAGGTAATTTTTAAAAAAATTTATCCGTGTAAGAAAATAATTTTTAGCCATAAAACATAACTATTTTTTTTTTCAAAATCAAACTCACATTTGCTCGCCGGGCTTCTTCAATATCACCTCTGTGGTATGCGTCTAGAACACGTTGAGATAGTAGGGCCATCATATTAAATGTACCACCAATAGCTGCTGTTCCGCCGCATGTTATGCATGGCAGCAAAACCTAAAAACAATTAAAATCAATTTATTGAGAAAAATTAAACTAAATATTTACATTTCTGTGCCTAATGATACAATTTCTTTCGACTTTAAACAAACAATAACTTTTAACAAAATTTAACTGAATTCAATGGTAATAACACCGACAATTTTTATAAATTAAGTTACCGGGTAAATAATAATTATTTCGCTTTATTTGATGCCTATTTGACATGCAAATTAAATGAGATAGCTTCACTATCTGTGCATACATATAACAGTAACGCATGTAGCTTATTTTGCTCGCAGTTACTTAATATTATGCTTCATTAACCCTCCAAGCGGTGAGCTCTTGGGCAAAATTAAACTTAAATTTCGCTGCTGTGCAATGATGTCTCATCGAATAATATAGTGAAAACTGATTTTTGATGTAGAAAACTTTGAAGCTGGATGCTGGAAAAAAAAGCAGGATCTTATAAAGGATTAATTGATATGTGTTTTATGTGCACATATGTTAATGTTACAGTTTTCCATTTTTGCTTCGTAACTGCTATGTGTGCACGCAGATTTTTACCTTATATAACTCATATTTAAGACATAAAATATACTAGACGGTAGAATTCTGCTTGATTACATACATGCAACAATAATGCATGAAGTTTTATTTGTACGTAGTTTTAAATATTATACTTCATTAATTTACACTTTTCACGCGTGTTTTCTTAATATGTAATACAATAGTTTTCCAGTTTCCTTACGTTATTTTTATATATACATATTTTTTTGATAATAGTTGTAGTTTTTTTTTCCGCAAGTGTGTTTAGTACTCCTTTTATTTTTCATTAATTAAATAAAAGAATAAATAAAGTTTAATAGGTTGCTTAATTACGTCAACACACAATCGGAAAAGGAAAAAAGAACGAATCACGTTTAATTATTTCTAAGAAACAGATTTTTATGAATAAAAACTCCAAAAGATTAATAGTTTAGAAAAAATTAAAAATATGACTTTACTTTTTTTTTTCTTTTTCTTTTTTTTTAATTTTTATTTCTCAAATAAAATTTTATCACTTAAGTTCCGGATTTTGACACTAAAATGCGTAGTTTAACATGTAGCTTAATATAATAATTTTAAAACTTAAATTCAGTAGTTAAAAATTACTTTTTGAATGTAATATGTAAAAAAAGAAAAAGAAAAAAAAATTGTAAATAAAGAAAAATATTTTTTTAGATTGATGCAATTAAATGTGTAGTTTAAATACGGTTAGTAATAATTAGTTAACCCAGTAGTTAAAGAAGTTAAGCTTAGTTAGTTGCTCTTAATCACAACAAGTGTAAATTTAATTTATTATACGAGTTCCGAGAAAAAAAATCCTAAAATATTTTAATTTCAAATTTTTTGGATCCTTTTGAAGAAAATTAATTTTAGAATACCGTACCTCGTCAAAACCAGTCAGTACTTTGAATGGCTCCCCAGGAAGATTATGACATCTCATCAAATCCAGTACATCAGTTGATGTGAATTTCGCTCCACAAAAATTGGGAATTGCTGCGCGAGCCTTAGGTAATAGTTGACTGACATTGACTGAAATAAATAAAAATTAATACAATAAATTTAAAATATTTTCATTAAGTAGAAAATGTAAAAAAACCAATTAATACAATAAATCTAAAGATTCTCATTGCATAGAAATTGTAAAAAAAAATCTATTTTTAATAGTGCTCTATATTTACAGTAATATTTTTAGAGTTCATAAAAATTTAAAACCTAAAATAATATATAGAAATTGTAATAATAGAAATTGTAAAAAAAATCTCTTTTTTTAATTGTTTTTAATTTTCAGCAATATTTTTAGAGTTTATTGAAATTTAAAACCTAATAAAAATATGTATAGCTATAAAAATTAATGCAAATTTGAGCATTTTCATTAAATAGAAATTGAAAAAAAAGTTAATACAATAAATTTAAAAACTTTCTTTAAACTACAAATTGCAAAATTTGCAATTTAATGAAATTTTATTGCAATAAATTGAATTAAAATTAAATTAATTGAAGAGAGACGAAAATTGTGGAATGAATTGTGGACATGAATGAATTAAATTAATTTTATTTTATTTCAAAAAATCCTTTCTAATATTGTCCTATATTTACAGTAACATATTTGGGGATTATTAAGATTTAAAACCTAAAGATATATGTAACTATTAAAATTAATACAATAAATTTAGAAATGTTCATAAAATAAAAATTGTAAAAAACAATTAATACAGTAAATTTAAAAACCTTCATTAAAAAGAATTTATAAAAAAATTCCTTTTTAATAATACTTTATTTTTACAATAATATTTTTAGAAATTATTAAAATTTAAAACATAAAAATATTTAAAGTTATGAAAATTTATTGATTCGTACAATATTAAATGCATAAATCATTAAACAAATGTTGCTATATAAGATTATACATAAAGTAATAAAGGGGGTTCTATAAGGCATACATCAATAATGCTAAAACTGACCTTTTTCGATGTACCTTTTAAAAGAAACTACTCATGATATCGAGAAATGGTACATCAAAAAAGGTTGGTTCTAGCATTATTGTTATAGGCCCTACCAACTCCCTTTAATGGTAGCTATAAACCAATAATAATAAATAGAAATAAAACATTATTGGGGAACATGGGGATTTATTATTAAATATCACATATAGTTGAAACTTACGCCTACTTCGTAGTGCACCATGGTTGCAACCAACAGAGAATTCACTTTAAAACTGATTTAATTTTAAAAATTTTATTGTTAAAAAGTTTGCAAAAAGAATTACTTACTTTCAACATTTGAATATGAAGGAATGTGATAGAGCATCAAGGGTAAATTAGGGGCAGCATCGGATATGCCTTTGAAATAAGCAATAAGATCATCTAAAAATGAAGAAGAAAGAAAATTATACACACTTAAACACTCCATAAGCATTTTTATGAACAGTTTCTTAATTCGTTTTATGGAAATAGCTCATATTTTTAACAATAGATGGCAGCATCAAATTTTCAAATTCAAATTTTGGTACTCTTAGTTCCTAACGTATCACTCTACAAATTTAATATAAAATAAAGGAATGATTTACTGACACACATTCTCCAATTTTAAATATAAAATTCTGATAATACATTCGTAATCTAAATTAAAAGTATTGTTTTTTGTCTTAATTTAAATACAGCTAAAAGTTTTTATTCTTTTTTTTTTCTTATTTTGGAGAAAGAGAAATTTAACTAGATACTGAAAGGGTGTATCCTAAACACCATTGTGCTATAGTTTTAAAATCCTTGATGAAATTTAATTCCTGATTTTATTAATTATAAATACCAAGTGCTATCCAGAATTTAAACAATATTAAAACCTGGAACTACAGTAAGATTTAAAATTACTCAAAATTGGCTAAGAGTTTGACACATTAAGTTATTCTAAAAAAAGCAATTAAGTGAACCTTTCTTTCAATTTCATCTCAGATTAAAAATTAGAAAAAAGTTAGTACACTAAATGATCTTGACTAATTCAGATTAACTCCACATTTTCTTTTTATTTCCAGCATTTAAACTATGAAATGTATCATTAAATAAATCAGGAATAACTCAATCAAAAACTTAATGGTGCAACTCAAAATTTTAAAAAAATAAATAAATAAATAAAATGAAAAAATAATAAATTAAAAAAAATAAAGATTTAGAATTCTGAAACTGATTTTAGACTTGAGCCTTTGAAATTTGACTAAATTTTATACATTAAATAAATTTACTATTAATAGTATTTATCGAAACTATATCATTCACTTTCATCCCACTTAAAAGAGAAGATAATATTTTTTCTTTAATCTTTACAAAAAATTACCTCAGAATTCAGATAATAAAATTCAGATAATTTTTTTTTTTTAAGGACGTTGTTTAAATTTGGTTTCACGATTCGTAAACTTATTTGACAAAGATTCTAAAAATTCAAAAATTATAAGTGCGTGGAATATTAAGAACACTTTGTAAGGTGTTATAAATTTTTACTATTTGATAATTTTAATTGTATTCCACTTCGACTAATAATAATGCTGTATTAATTATTAAAATCATTATATGGCATTTTATTCAGTACTTTTTTCTGATGCTTTATAATTCGTCTATGAGTTTCGTCTATGAAAATAATGCGGTTGAATTTAAATATTAAATCAAATTTTGTCTTCTAATCAAAAAGTTTTGACTCTTTATTCACGAATTCGTGATACTATCTATGCATAAGTAAATATTTTCAGATCCTTCGTAAAGAGGGGGTGAGCTGGGCATTTGATCTCGCATTTCTAGAACTCTAAATACCCCGAAAAATATTTTAATAATTGTCAAAAATTTATTTCTAATTTATTTTCTTAGTTAAAAAGTGCAAAAACTTGCTTTTTATTTTATTATATTATTGAAATAGAGGAAAGAAAAGAAAAGATTCACCACATTTTTAGGGTTGCTCTCACAAACACACATAAATTCATATAAATAAACCATATCGAATCCGAAAGTAAGATTTATTTACATATTTTTAGATTATTCTTAAAACTTAAAAAAGTAAATAACTAACTGTAGTATAAAATTTGAAGGCCAAAAAGTTTCAAGTCATTCATTTCAGTTATTTTTAGTTATATGTAACTTTCAATCTCAAAATTCCTACTTTTAAGGGTATATGAAATAAAAAATTAAACTGTAAATTTAATTATAGTCCAAAATTTTCTGGGAAAAAATAAAAAATATTTCAAATGATTCGTTTCTGGAAATTAAACTCAAAAATTTTTAAAAAAAATTTTAGATATATTATTGTTCAACAATATAGGAAAATGTTTTTTTTTTTTTTAAATTTTATTTTAATGACGAAACAACACATAAAAACGCCAGTTACAGCGGTGTGCAATGTGAAAAAAGAACGCTATTTCAACAATGTAACATTTAACATTTTTTTAAACATACTTTTTAAACATTTGAAAATATTTTCTAAAGACCAATATTTCCTTTACTACTTAGTAAAATAAATATTGGTCTTCAGAAAGCTCGTTAAAAATGTTGTAATATATGTTTAAAGAAAAATTATTACATTAAATCTTGGGTAATAAGTGATTCATTTTTCTTAGAGCACCGCAGAAAGAGCTAAGTCTATTGACGATTCTGAATAGTTGAATAATGCGATATTTATTTTGTTGTCATTTTCTAAAGAAGGTTTCATTTGTCGATAATATAAATAACTTCAGTTTGCATTGTCAACGTTTGAGTAAACCCATGTGAATGTTATTTCTATTTATTCATTTCATTTACATTTAACCGTGACATAAAGCAGCTCTGACTGTTTGTGCATCCGTGATATTTATCAATATTCATCTCCTTTGTAGAACCTATAACTAAACAGAAAAAGGAACTATTCTGAATCGATTTCATGCAAAACTATAGTATATTTAATAAATTTCAATATTCCTTTTCCTCAACATAAATTATATTTTAAAAAAAGAAAAAAGCAGCTTTTTTGATAAAACCTTCTTTTACAAAAGTTTAAATCATAAAACGTTCGAATCTAATAAAAATTGTCCCTGAACCGCCAAGAAATTGAATTTATTGACCTTGATTTTCAAAAACAATAAAAACACTTGACTTATAGATAACAGATTCTAGACTCGTTCAACAAGATTTAAGATTAAGTTATCTCCCACAGCCATAACCTTTCGACAGAACGTTCTAAACAAGAATAAAAATTTATTCTATTTACCTGTCTACCTGATTCTACATCAATCAAAACTGAAATTAATGCCGGCTAAGAAATAAAATGGTGTTACTTTCCATACCATCAAAAAGAAAGTTATTTGAACTTCTCAAAGAAAATTTATCTTAATCAAAATCATTAATCTTGTTCATAATAACGATCATAAGTAAGGATTTTAAAAGAGCCGAAGTTGAATATTAAACAGACGTTTAGTTTTGACCTTACCGTCGCTTTTGGGTTTGTAGAACAAAGGAGGTAACGATGCTAGAGCTGTAACACCAATCTTTTCTGCATGGCGAGCCTGTAGATAGATCAAAATGTATCAGATAGATAGACAGTGAATAGTTTGTCTGAAAATAATTATAGACAATCGCTAACTAGAGTTATTTTAATGGAAGGTACAATGCTAGTAATGGAAAATATGATTGATTAGTATGAATTTCATTTGTCAATCTATCGATTATAGCTGTCAATTTTGTGACAGAATGCCGTAAAAATGGCAATAAAATGTATCAAGAGAATGAAAACCAATTATTATAAAGTGCTTGGGTTTTTTTTTTTTTTTTTTTTTTTTTTTTTTTTAATTCACCAAATTTACTGAGGTATGAAAAATGGTATGGGTTGAAGAAATGGGAATGGTATGGTATGAGGTTATTTTTCTGTTTTAAGTTTTGAAATTCTTTTCATTGCATTTTATTTTTGCAAAAATCAACAAATTTTATTTTCAAGTGAAAACATTTTGGGGTTTTTTTTTTAAATAAAGCGAAATATAAAGCTAAAAAATTAATGAGTAAAAATATTCAGAAAGAGTTTAATTTTCTAAATCTGTCATTTACTAGCGTTTCTACGATAATTTATCAACAACAAAAAAGCATGTAAAGAAATTAGTAAAAAAATCACTAGAAAAGCAGTGGCGCTATGCAAGTTAAAAAACAAACGAAAAACATTCGACGCAAAATTTGGGAGCTTCTTAAAAAGCCTCTAGAATCAAATTAATTTAAAGCAGTGTTTTATATCCAGTAACATTTCATTGTACTTGCTTAAAAGGAAGTAGAAATTGGCTTCATCTTCTCGTGGAAAAACAGTAATTTTAAACTACTTGTAACTCTCTCTATATATTATGTATTATTTCATAACCGGTGTTGAATAGTCGACCAAATTCTGAGTTTATGACTATCAATGTTCAACTCCGTAGCTTTGTATTTTTGAACTCAATCCGGTGGATAAGGGATCAAGCTTTGAGACAAACTAGTTTTCGTGGACTTTTTGATGGAAATAACCTTTATTTGCGTTACATGGGGAGGAAAAACTCACACGGTTAGCCTGATTGCTAACCATGTGAGATTCTACTCTAACTCATGTACCTTCTACAACTGAGGATATCTTACGTCAGCACTGTGATCGGTGTGAGCCGAGAGCGAAATTCATATCAACCAGCCACAGCTGAGATTTGAACCTGGCTAACCTCATTGGGAGGCGAAAGCTATATCTCCTGAGCCTCCGCGATTCTAACTCAATATAGAGTGTTGCATGACGAGAACCTAATATATGTATTTTTAGAATCCTATTAAACATAAAGTAAAACAATTACATTAAACTTGCTAATTGATATTTTAGCGAAGAAAAACAAAAATGCTACATCGAAAACAAATGAAACACTATTGAAGATGGCAGGGCAGAAAATCAGCTGCTTAGTTACCAGAAAAACAGAGATGTAAGAAAAGATTGTAAGAAGTAGCTTAAAGTTTACGGCATCAAACGAAACATGTGACAATATTAGAAGTGATAAATTGGATTGCGTTTTTTCTCAATTTAAAATTTTTGACCTCGAATGTAAAAACCTTTTTGACGAGGATTTTAAAAATAAGTATTTTAGGTGATTATAAAAACACCTTTTGCATTTTAGAATGAGCAAAAAATAAATACGAGCTACAAAGTATATCTCTAAATAAAACTTTAGCTGACACTTTGGGTACTTACTTAGTGAAATAAATTAAGTATATAATGTATAAAAAAAATTTAGAAATAATTTTTCATTCCAAATAGAAAGAAAGCGTTAAGAAAATCAGAGTTTAACGCTCAGTTATTCCAGCTTCCTCCTTAAGTTATTTAAATTTATGTATATATCAAAATAATTGTTCAAAAATTCAAATTTTCGAACATTTATCTTGAAACAATCTTGTATATTGACTTTCAAGTTGAACTTCATAATCATCAATCTGTGAGCAAAGAAAAAGAATTGTAATATATCCCTAGCAGAGAAAGAATTATAATTTTATAATTTTTTTTCGTAGTCACGCTTCTCATAAGAAGTCAATCTAACCTTGAAAAGGCTTATTTAATTTTTAACTTTTTTTTTGAGCTCGAAATCTTAAAATGTGCGAACAGAGAACGTGAATATGCTTAAAAATACAAGATTACAAAAGTCTTGACATCATAGCCTTGACTTCTTTTTAGAGAATATTTACCTATTCTAATAAAGCACTTTATTCACCATTTACATTCTTTCTGATAAAAAGTATAAACCTTCTTAAAAACGTTGTTCATTTGAATTTTGTTAGGACTGTAGATGTATGTTTTTGTATAATACATTTAAGTTTCTTCCATATTTGTGAATTCAGACGATACTTAAGTAGTTAAATGCACTTAAATTTCCAAGGATTAAAAAAAGATAAGCCGAAATAAGCAGAAGGTATAGTTATGATAAAGTGCCCACGCAATCAATTAAGATAAATTAATGAGTCACGCTAAAATGCGAGCTTTTGAACTAAGATAATTGTTTTTGATTTGCGCTAGATGAATAAATTAGATCTTAGGAAAAATGAAGAGAAAATAATTATACGCACAACTATTTCCCTTTAATATAATAGATATTTTTATGACCTACGTGTAATCATCACAGTAATATGAACAAGAGACATTCATTAAACAGCGTTCGTATTTTAGTTATGATTTGAAATAATCTGAATTAAATCTACTAATTAGATTATATTTGGATCTCATTTATAGATTACATTCGTATTTGTAATGATCTAAATTTTTACTTTTTTATTGAATTAATCTATATCTTAATTAAGATTTGTTCATGAATTACAACCATTTGAGTTATGAATTACTTCGATTTGTAATAATTGCCTAAACTATAACATTCATCTATTTGTATTAAACTGCGTTTTTTATTGAACTACACTTGTTTAAGCTGTATTCAATAGTTTAATTACACTAGTAGTTCTACTATGAATAATTACATTCATTGTAATGCAATTAAGCAATTATCTGTTTAGAGGAACGTAAAAAAATTATCTAACTATTATTGACTCGAGTTATGCTTGAATTAAGGTAATAAGTACTGCTATAATTATGATTGTAGGTAATAATTACTGTGGAAATAGACACCCAATATACTAATATAGCTAACTAATATAAGTTCTGTTAATAAATGCCTAAACTATGAATTATATCTATTCGAGTTAAACTGCTTTTTTTATTGAACTACGTTTGTTTAAACTCAGTCAGTCTGTTAAGCTTGTTAATTCAGTCGTTTAATTGCACTAGTAATTCTACTATGAATTACATTCATTAAAATGCAATTAAGCAATTATCTGTTTTGAGGAGCGTAAAAAAAATTTCTAAGTGTTACTGACTCGAGTTATGCTTAAATTGAGGTAAAAAGTACTACAATAATTGCAATCATAGGTAATAGGTACGGAGAAAACGACACCCAATATATTAATATACCTAACTAACATAAATTCTGTTTCATGGAATTTAACTTTTAAGGTTCCCAGAAGCGGATAAATACTTATTAACAACTAAACAAACTAAATGCTATAAATTTAGCATTAAGTTTATTATAAGCCCATTCAGAGTAAAATAATAGCTGGAACAAGGATTAATTGTTGTGCAATTTGTATTAACCTTGCATTATAGAGAAAAAAAATGCAGTATGAAAAAAGAAAATCATAAAATATATGAATTAGAAAAAGAGAAACATACAAAAAGGACAACTAGAAAAATGATAATATATACAAATAAATGTAAAAAAATATTTATATAAAAAAATTGGTTTGTACATTTAAAAAGTAGCAGTCAGACTTGGTCCCCCTCCCCAAGGACAGAAGGAGGGTCGATATTGATGCTATTAGACAGATTTTTTAAGTTCTAAACAAGTCTGATTTAATTTTTTTCGAGCTTCACGTATTTTTCAAGATAACTCGATTTTAAGCAAAATTTTCATCGTCGACACTTTACAATTGCATCACCATACATGAACCAACATGCAACAACCTGCATGTCAAATTAAGACCGCTTTTTTCTGCAAAATCCAAATCTGCAATAAAAAATAGGAATTCATGTATACGATTTTAAGTTACCTCCGCCTTCCCAGAGGTAATATCGGGTCGTCTAATCTAAATCATCGCATGAAAGTATTTCATACGAGCATTTCTAGATTTGATTTGAAAGATTTTTAGATTTGAAAGTTTGCTTTTTTGATTCTATGGTATTTCTTGAGAAATTTGACTGCTGCCACATATTTTAGACAACCTATATATTTTATCTAAATTATCTAATTAAAGTTACAATTTTAAGAACACAGCAAATAATTAGGACAAAAGAACTTTTTTTTTCTATATTATTTGAGCAAATCAATTTAACATATCTTACAAATTAAAAACTTGTTACTTAAAAAATTTGATTGTTTTATAATCACAAAAGACAAAATTTATGCATAAGGCAATAATTGTGACATAATTAAATGCATAATTTCTTCTCCTGTCAAAACATGAACAACAGTTGTTTTCCCATTATACATTAATTTATCAAGAATATTATAAGTAAGGAAATAAATAAGAAATAAAAATGAAAGCAAACTTATGAAAAGAATGCCCTTTGACCCTTGAGTCTTGAAAAATATCGGAAGAAAAAAAATTAGATAAAAAAATGATTAGAAGACAGGGTTTTGTTATCTAGAAAACTTATCTTAAAATAATTCAAAAGAAAAAAAATTGCGTTGTTTTTAAAATTTTACAATCAAAATAAATGTATAAAAATTGTCAAAAATTTTGTAAAATTTTACGCACAATAAAACTAGTAAAAAAAGAGACAGGAATTGTTGAGTGCGAAATTAAACAAGCTTATACGTGATATCATATTATTTAAATTAAAAATTAGTTTCTTATTTTATTTATTTTTATTCCTATTTTTCTTATTTTATTATTTTTTTATTTTTTTCCTATTTTAATTTTTTATTTTATTTTCCTATTTCGGTTCAAATAACCCGACCATTTGGGAAAAATATAT